TAGATTTTTTTTTTCAAAATAAACTATTTCAATTTTGATTCTTGCAAAATATTTCAAAAAAAGTAAAGCGTTTACCATTTTAGAATGCCAACACGTTTTTTGTGCCTGTTTTAGGTTTAATCGACATGTGCATGCTCAGAGTGCAGTATCCGGACATGTGGGAGATCGATGGGCGTGAGGACCAATCACATTCGTTGCTCCAACAGAGCGACCAATCACCTTGGCGTTTTCTCCTCGTCCCGCCGACATCTCCACCTTTTGACCAATCATGGCACCAGAGGTAAGTACGTCACTTACGTGCATTCATATAGCGATTCATAAAGATATCTTTATGCGGATTATTGTCGTTTTTGATGTCGTACAGTCTTTCACAGTCAGGATGGCCGAGCGGTCTAAGGCGCTGCGTTCAGGTCGCAGTCTCCTCTGGAGGCGTGGGTTCGAATCCCACTTCTGACATCACTTTTTTTTTTCTCTCTATTTATAAAGGATTATACTGACAATATCCACTGGAGGGCAGCAGAGACCAGTAAAAATCTATATCTGTTAGTCTCTCTGTCTCTCTCTCTGTCTATCTATCTGTTTATCTATGTTTCTTAATATAAAAAAATATATTTAAAGAAGTATACGGAGAAAAGGTATCAAATATATACTATTGTGTGCCAAAAAATTAGTAAACAGTTTACTTTAAGTATAAAATATAAATACAATACAAATTACAGAGACAGTGGAATGCAGTGAATGAGGTACTGGCAGTTGTAGCATGCTGTGCAAGTTTAGCAGTATGTAAACAGTATGAAAATGATAAATATATATATACACTTTTCAGACCAAATTCTTCTGTATGTGATGAAATCTTTGTTAACCCCTGGAATAGGCCTGTTTACCACACAAGTTCTGATTTGGTTAAGTGAACACAGTGGGAATTTAACTCTGTCTTGTCTTTTGAACTCTCTCCCTCTACAGAAACATCTGGCCTTGGGTCACTGGCTCTGAGAACAGTCGGTCTGGGATTCACACACCCTCCAGTGGTCCCAGCACATGCACCCCAGCTCCTGACACTCTGCCCTCTACAACTGCAGTTTTTGTTCCAGCCGGCAGCGGTGAGATGTTGTCAAGTACATTTTTATTGTATCTGTCCTATTGCAGATTTATTTTCTGGTACTTTTACTTGACTACATATATTTGCAAATATCTGTGCTTCCTACACATGACAGTTGTATAATGTTTTGAGTAATATGTTCACCTCAAAGCAAGTACTTACTAGAGTTATAGTTGGTGTGAGTTTTTTTTCCTTCATTCTATGCTCCATATATCTATCAATGGATTAGTGCATTAATATAGAAATACATATTTATCTGCGTTTTGTATGTCCTGTAGTTTTTCACAGTCAGGATGGCCGAGCGGTCTAAGGCGCTGCGTTCAGGTCGCAGTCTCCTCTGGAGGCGTGGGTTCGAATCCCACTTCTGACATCACTTTTTCTTTTCCTGTGAGTGTGCGAGCGTCTGTTTCTATGTGAAATTCTGTTGCGTTGTTACATTGAAACGCATTGAGAGATTTTACACACAATTATACTGACAACATCCACTAGAGGGCAGCAAGGACACATAGATGTCTATCTATATATATCTATCTATTCATCCATCTATCTGTCTGTCTGTCTGTCTGTCTATCTATCCAATATCTTTATGTCTATATCTATTTTTCTTTCTATCTATCTGTCTATCTATCTATCTATATGTTCATCTGTCTATTCATCCATCTATCTATCTATCTATCTATCTATCTATCCATCCATCTATCCATCTGTCTATCTATCTATCTATCCATCCATCTATCTGTCTGTCTGTTTGTCTATCTATCTATCCATCTATCTTTATGTCTATATCTATTTTTCTATCTATCTGTCTGTCTATCTATCTATATCCATCTGTCTTTATGTCTTTATCTATTTTTCTATCTATCTATCTATCCATCTATCTTTATGTCTATATCTATTTTTCGCTCTATCTATCTGTCCGTTTGTCTATATATCTATTTAACTATCTTTCTGTCTATCAATCAATCAATCATCTATCTGACCTAGATAACAGATTCACACTTCAATCAATCAATCAATCAATCAATCAATTAATCAATCAATCAATCAATCAATCAATCAATCAATCAATTAATCATCTATCTATCTGACCTAGATAACAGATTCACACCTCAACACAAGGTGGCGGTTGTGACGCTGGTTGCCAGCCGCCTACGATCCGAGCAAGGTAGAAGAAGAAGAACATCAACAAACATGGCCGACATGACGGGCAGCTATGCTACGAGAAAGGGCCACCGGGTGATCTGGGGTCAGGACACCGAGCACAGCTTGATCGAGATCTGGCAGGAACACCAGTGACTGTTCGACGTATCTAGCTCATGAGGTTTATTGTCGTTTTAGATGTACTGTAGTTCTTCACAGTCAGGATGGCCGAGCGGTCTAAGGCGCTGCGTTCAGGTCGCAGTCTCCTCTGGAGGCGTGGGTTCGAATCCCACTTCTGACATCCCTTTTTCTTTTCCTCTATTTCCTGTGAGTGTGCGAGCGTCTGTTTCTATGTGAAATTCTGTTGCGTTGTTACATTGAAACTCATTGAGAGATTTTACACACAATTATACTGACAACTTCCACTGGAGGGCAGCAAGGACACATAGATGTCTATATATCTATATCTATCTATCCATCCATCTATCTGTCTGTCTGTTTGTCTATCTATCTATCCATCTATCTTTATGTCTATATCTATTTTTCTATCTATCTGTCTGTCTATCTATCTATATCCATCTGTCTTTATGTCTTTATCTATTTTTCTATCTATCTATCTATCCATCTATCTTTATGTCTATATCTATTTTTCTCTCTATCTATCTGTCCGTTTGTCTATATATCTATTTAACTATCTTTCTGTCTATCAATCAATCAATCATCTATCTGACCTAGATAACAGATTCACACTTCAATCTATCTATCTATCTATCTATCTATCTATCTATCTATCTATCTATCTATCTATCAATCAATTAATCAATTAATCATCTATCTATCTGACCTAGATAACAGATTCACACCTCAACACAAGGGGGCGGTTGTGTCGCTGGTTGCCAGCCGCCTACGATCCGAGCAAGGTAGAAGAAGAAGAACATCAACAAACATGGCCGACGTGACGGGCAGCTATGCTACGAGAAAGGGCCACCGGGCGATCTGGGGTCAGGACACCGAGCACAGCTTGATCGAGATCTGGCAGGAACACCAGTGTCTGTTCGACGTGTCCAGCTCTCAGTATCACAACCGAGTGGAGAAGGAGAAGGCGTGGAGAGAGATCGCTAAATTTCTCCAGCAGCCAGGTACGAGCTTCACGATGCACCGGTGTGGACATGACACACTTCATGTCTGCTGTCAGAGTTTGTCAGTGGAGACAGCTGCTGCTCTGGCTGCTGTTTAAACCCTGAACTGCAGAGTTCTTGTGTCTGTCGCTGGTGACCACGTAACCCCCGAGAAAATGACGTTTATTGTTGTGATGGATTGTAATATTATACATGTATGATATAATACACTTAAAAGTTTCAGAATAAGGTATAGTGAGAACATCTTAAAGTTATAAACTAGACAGAATATGTACATAATATAATGTATAGTTATATAGAATAGTAGTAGTAGCATACTAAATAGAAGTATACAGTAGTACAAATAGTATACTAAATTATAAGATATAATAGCAGTAGTAGTATACTAAATAGTGGTATTCAGTATAGCAGTAGGATTCTAAATAGTAGTGTACAATAGTAGTAGTAGAATACTAATTAGCATTATACTTTATATAGTAGTTAGTATAGTACCATACAATAACAGTGATAGTTCAAAATACCCAAACCAAATTCTAGATTGGATAACGAATGATGATTTGCTTTGGTGTACTTTGTAAATGTTTGCCTTGCAGTTCAGGAGGTGAAGACCAGGGCCACGTCGCTCCGCACCCAGTACTCCAGGCTGATCAAGCCGAAGCCCAACGGGAGCGAGAGCAAACCTCTGACCCCGAGGCAACAGTGGCTCATCAGGGTGATGGATTTCATCAAACCATATATTGTGCATCGTCCATGTGAGACCGCAGTAAGTTATACAATCTTGATTTTTCTGCAGTTTCAAATGTTCTGATATTTAGAAAAATCATAACACGTCAAATGTTTTACTGGGATTTTTAGTAGCTTCATCTGTAGAGTGTCAGCCTGTGTGAATGTGTGTACGTATACCTGCATATGAAGCCCTGCCCCAGGAGAAGAACATCATGGCGAACAGGAGTGGATCACGAGGCTGCTTAGACATATACCTGTTTTATATATCACAGGTCTCACACATGCCGGCCTGATGAGTTGTGAAAATGTTATTACACTGTTTGTAGTAAAGTTAAGAATAATTACACTGTGTCTCTACACATGTGATGTTGACTGATCCATTTCTGCGTCACCTCCTCCAGGTTGATGTGTCTCTCTGTGAGCTGGATGACTCCGAGGAGCAGGAGGATCACTCAGACTCGTTTGAATCAGCTCTCCTGTCGAGACCTGAAACACCAGAAACACTAATGCCCCGGGTGCTGCGTTCTGCCTCCTCCTGCGAGTTTTCGGACGAAGGAGCTTCCCCGACGAGGGAACCTGCCCAATCGGCCGCAAGGGGAGTCAAGCGCAAGGCAAGAACTGACGACATCGAGCTGCAGAAGCTTTTGGTTTTAAAACAAATGGCGGCGAAAGTCGACGCCGATCAAGCGGATGCGTTTACCACTTTTGGTAACCAGGTGGCATCAGAACTCCGGCTAATCAAAGACCCGGCAAATATCACAAGACTGAAAAGACGAATCATCAACATGATATACGACACCCAGGACTCTGAAAGGCAGCAGCCACCAGCAGCAGCACACAAATACAAACAGAACACCACACCTACACCACTGGTTCAGTCCAAGTCGTAGGGTTCTCAACCACCTCAATGTTTATAATTGTTTTATATTCTATTTGATTCTCGTTTACTCTTTGTGCCACTTTTATTACTCCATTTACTTTCACAATATATGTTTGAAACATCAGTTACAAGAAAATTATTTCTATTGAACCTTGACACAGACTACACTCCATTTTTTTATTCCACAGCTTTATTTAAATAATACTATGACTGAATTCAAAATGTGCAGAAATCAAGTAGCAGAGAATTACTCCGTGGTTGATGCTAATCGTGCTCCTCCTGCCAGGGGACGAAGCCAGCAGGGGAGACAAAGTAGTCACTCAAAAGGTGTCTTTGCTGTTCTGCGGTAACAGACGGGTCACGTGGTTCTCTCTCTCTGTTCTCCACCGGCTGTAAATTCCCCGTGCCTTCATTTCTCCAGGCTCCATCAACAATGACGTGATCAGTGGTCTCCCAGTCAGCGAAGCCTGGAGGCGCGTAGGCCTCAGACCTGCGCTCACACAGGAAGTTGTGAATGCACAGGGAGGCCAGAGTTATTTTCACCACCTTCTCTGGCTCCAGGCAGATGGTGGACCTGAGGACCCTCAGCCTGTTCACGAGAATCCCAAAGGCATTTTCCGCCACTCTCCGTGCCCTCGTCAGCCGGGTGTTCAGAACTCGGTGACAGTGGTCCATGTGCTGTGCAGGGTATGGCTTCATGAGGTCATTCCTTAGAGGGAATGTGTCATCACCGACGAACATGTACGGCATCAGCACGTGTGAGTTGGGCAAAGGCTCAGGTGGAGGAAAGTTCAGCAGGCCGCCGTCCATCGCTTTGCGCAGGTCCGAGTGTTGGAACGGTCCAGTGTCTGACTCTCTGCTTTGCGTAGCCACTCTTGCGTAGATAAATTTGTAGTTCGCGTCCACGGCAGCTATCACCACCAATGACAACCTGCCCTTGTAGTTGTGGTAGAGGCTGCTATTTCTTCCTGGAGGTTGTATTTGGATGTGTTTGCAATCCAGCACCCCAAGGCAATGTGGAAAGTGCCATTTCAACTCAAAGTCCCGAGCTATTGTCCGCCACTCTGCCGCTGTTGATGGTGTCTAGTGACAGAGGGAAAGAACAGTTAAGGCCAGAAGATAATGAATTGATTATCATACAATGAAACTGTATTTGTGTTCGCCACATTTGTAGCATTTCTACTTTTAAAGCAAATCCCACTGATGTCTTTATCATGCAAATGAGATTTCAAGATACAGCTGCATTGTGGGAAATCTGGACAGACCCTTTATACAGCTTAACAGAGGTGCTTGCCTTCAGGAAGTCTTTCTTCATGACCCGATGCAGAGCAGCACAGGTCTCCATGATGATCTGTGAAATCGTGCTGGTCCCAATCCTGTACTGCAACCTGAGAGACTTGAAGGTTTCTCCTACAGGACAAATTCAATAATTACACGGTGAACAGAAACTGAAGAGCAAAGGAGTGTAACAGCGAACGCCCTCTTTCCGAAAGGCTCTTGCTCTGTAATTAAATTTCCAAAAGAAAATTGAGAAAATCCCTTGCAAGAGTGAAAGACCAACGTATCCCATCAACCATTGCAAATTACCCCTTTTATTGCAAAATACTCTGAGCTGCTTCTTCTTGAATTGAACCTTGTTGTGATTTTCACTGTTTTGGACTAACGCTGAACAAACCGTTTGCAGCCAACATATTTGCAGTTGCAGAAAACATTTCGAGGGTAACAGCAAGCTCCACCAATCACAGCCGTCAACATTACACCTGAGGATTGTGGGTTTACATTATACAGATAACGTAGCTCCTGCTAAGTCCACATTGTATGATTACATATTGTGGCTGATTATCCAAATCTCTATTCCAATATGTTTTAGATGCTTTCACTGCTGTAAGACTGAGCATGTGATAGATCCAAGTCTTTTAGAGAATATCCACCTCAGGCTCCACCTCACCCCGTCTCAATTAATTCACAACCCACCACTCAACGTGCACATTCTGTATATTCATGAAAAATATCACTCTCTTCCGTCAACAAAACCACGTGACCGGATTACCATAAGTAAACAGAAAAGGTGCCGCAATACCGCAGAGTGCACGTGACTCCTCCAGCCACACCGATCTCTCTAACGTGACTCGCCTGTCACTAAGAAGCGCAGCGTCAGGGAGAGTCTCTCTCTGGGAGAAATGGCCAGTCTCATTTTGGTGTTCCGTTTGGTGATGAGAGGTTCGACCCTCGCCAGCAACAAATCAAACTCCTCTGCGGTCATGTGCAGCAGCTTCCGGAAGCCAGCCTGCTCCTGCGTCTGTTCACAGAGGAGACATGACACTGATCAGGATGTAAACAGTGTGTGTGTGTGTGTGTGTGTGTGTGTGTGTGTGTGTGTGTGTGTATGTGTGTGTGTGTGTGTGTGTGTGTGTGTGTTTTCACTGACCTCCAGCTCCCTCTGCAGCACTGACAGTCCGGGCTGCACACGTCCACCGCTCCACTCCTTCACCCAAACTCGTTTCTTCTTCTTCTTCTTCTTGTCACGTCTTTCTTCTGAAGCGATCATCGCGCAGACAACCATCAGCGCCTGTGTCTGTCGGACGTCCATGGCGCGGGACCAGCAGTTCCGCCCGAGTCGTTTCTCGCGTCATTTCCGGCTTCACTCCTCGCGGGGTCTGTCGTGACAGAACATGGTCTGGAGACCTGATCTGACAGAATGACCGTTTTATTGGTTGAAAGTATATTTTTACATGTTTAGAATATGTAGAACTAATATTATCACTACGATAATAATGATAGAGATTATAAAACAATAAAGTTGAAAAACGAATCTTTGTGCTTTTATCCATTAAACTAACTTTAGGATTTCTAAAACGACTTCAGTTCAGTTTAATTCACCTTCTGCTCCCTGCAGCATGTTGGTTGTCATGTTAACAATCTCAACACATCCCATTCAACGAGCTCCTTCAACTGGAAGCAGCCGTGAATGTGATTTGTCCAATCAACTGTCTGATGGTCTGAAGACATGTTCCATCCACTGTGATTTTTAAAACCAGGTTAAAAACTTACAACCATCATGGCATTTTATTCTGTCTACTTTCTTTGTACTATTTTTACTCTTGAATAATTAAAATGGTGTAGAGATTTATTCTTTTTATTTATTTTGCCTATTTTAATCTCTTTATGTTAAAGGTCCAGAGTGTAGGATTTAGGTGAAAGGGATCTATTGGTAGAAATTTAATGTAGAATAATCCTCATGATGTTTTCACTAGTTTGTTTCATCTAAATCGTATGAATTGTAGTTTTCTTTACCCCAGAAAAAGCCCTTTATATTTAAATACTTTATATTTACATGGAGGGGACCCTCTCTACGGAGGCCGCCGAGTTTTTATGACAACTGAAGTTTACCACAGGTTCTTTTTCATGTTTGGAAGGAGAGGGTGAGGTGAGGGGTGTTCAGCTGCAACATTCAATACACCCAGTATCACTAAATTCTACACGCTGAACCTTTAAGTGTAATTTTATTCTGATCCTCACATTAGCAGCTATTACTATTACAACTGTAAATACTACTATTAGTACTGGTATTTGTGTGACAGACATTAAATACACATGATGGTCTGTTTCCTGTTTCCACTGCAGAATCCAGTGCATGTGGGCACAGCTGTCACTCATTAGGAGCGTCACCTCCACACCTCAGTCTAATAAACACAGCTCACCGTGACTCACTAAAGAATAACAGAAAATGTAAGAAATGACTTTCAACTGTCAGTTCATCTTCTTCTTAGTGGATTGATAATGGTTTTTAAATGTCTTTCAGGAACTCCTTCCAGTTTTCCTCCGTGTGTTTGATCCTGGTGACGCAGGTCACATCGTTTGGTGAGTGTAAAGCTCATTGTGTCACTGAGGTTATTGTTGAAATCAAAGTTTGTCAAACAGACTTCTAGAGAGATTCTTCCTGTCCGTTTTCTTCCAGGACACACGGATGATATACACTTTTCTATTTGTTGGATGAGTAAGAACGAGGCTCTGGAAAGGTGAACGCTGTTTTTAATGTTGTGCTTGTATGTGAAATTGAATGCCTGACTAAATGCAAGTGAAAAAGAGCCCTGTGCCAAACCTTTTTTAGAAAAACACAGTTTGTTGTTTCTCTGATAATCAGCAAACTTGGAGCAATGGTAAAATGTTCCTGCTGACTTATTATACTACCCTCTTAAATTCGGCATGTATTTCAATTTATTTTATATATGTTTAGTGATATAGAAATCAGGGCTGTGGAGTGGACAGATCAATGTCATTACAATCGAAGACCTTAAACAATAAGATCTTAAGCTAAAGACAGCAGATCAAATTATGTCATTTAAAAGTAAAGACAAAAGAAACAGAATAATTGCAAAAATAAAAAGTTAAAGTATTTAAAAGTACATCACAGTAAGTATGTTATGTAAAAGTACATACAGTCAGCATCTTCCACACAAAACTACTCGACTGGTATGTGTCCACATACTTTTGACTGAAATGCACCTTAGACTGGCTGACTGAATGTATGACATGGATACTGAACTGGAGATCAATTTGCAAGTTGTCGATTAAATCACATTATTTATAGTTTACAGTTTATTATTTTTAATCTTGAGAAAATAATGTACTGATGCTTTATTCTTTTTATTCTTTCAGACACAATGGAAACATCTGGCTGAACGAGACGACACTGAAGTCCATGAGGAGGGCGGGTAAAGTCCACTCCCTCACCGTGTACCCAGCTGTAGAAAACAAGCTAACGCTGAAGTACGGAGGCAACATTCACTCGTGGACTTTAACCATCTCTCCACGTAAGCATGCAGGCTTTATACTGATTTGAGATTTATACTCACCAAGTATACTTGGTATTATAATATATTAAATGAAGATCTATCATTGGAAGGTATCAGGCTCAACAAAATCAAAGGTCTGCCCAAACCCCTGGAGAATCCAACGAATGCCACTCAGGTACTTGTGACATAACATTCATCAAACTACAGTTTAATATAGATATTTGGTCTCATCTTGATTTTATACTCATGTTATACATTCATCCTGTTGTGTGTTCTCACTACTTTCCCCTCTGCAGAGCTTTCTGGACTTGATGAGTCCCACTGAGGTGTTTGCATGTGAAAACGGAACAGTGTTCTTCTACCAGGATGAAGACTTCTTTCTCGCTGCTGGTGAGATTATTTGGTCGTTTGTGTTTAGTCTGTTTTTGTCTGAAAGACTTTGTGTTGTTTTCTCAGTTGTTTGGGGTTAATGTTGCGTTGACTGTATCGATCAGGTCTGTAGCTGTTAGATGATAGATGATAGATGAGATGATCAATACCCATCCTCACACTGTCAACATGCTCAAGTTACTTGAGATCATTCGACCCGGTAGTTTTTGTGTATACCTGGTCACAGACAGAGAGACAAACCAACAGCAATGAGATATAATCTCTTTGGCAGAGGTAATGAGGCCTGAACTTCCTGAATCTGAGGATATGGAAAACGATGAAGGGAGAAAACAACCTCCTTCACTTCCTCACAGTTCATACTGCTCCATCCGGGTGTTAACTTCACTTATTACCTCCACTAAGGAGGTTATATTTTCACCTGTTTGTTGTTAAGCAGGATGACCCAGGAACTACTGGTTGGATATCCACGGAACTGTGGATCCTGTGAAAGGATGCAGTAGAGATCTGCATAGAACCCATAACAACCTGATGTGAGGCAGATCTGAGAATTGGTTTTCAGGTTTTTGATGAACATTTTCACTGATTTCACAGGGAATGATTCATGGATCTTTAAAAAAATAATCAGACATATTTAGAGAACTGATATCTATTGGTGTGTATTATTTGAATTTAAAGGGACTGTTGGACTTGGCAAAGTTTCCATCCAAGTCCATGTGTTTGTTATTGATGGTTTAATATGTTTTTTAATTCATCTCATTTTCAACACTTTTTATGACTGACCTGCTGTTTTCTCATCTCAGGCCACACTCTGCGTCTTCCTGTCAAGATTGAGTCCAGGAGCTCCTCTACGCTGCTGCTCTCCTGGTTGGAGAATAGTCTGCATACCAACAACAGCCACGTGGTGATCCTGTACCGCACTGATCCCACCTCCTATACCATAATCGGCATGGACTCTACTGGACTCGACCACTACCACCTCATAGCTCTGGACTCCTGCAGCCCTTATGTGGCCTGTGTGGAGATTGCAGGCTCTGAATCCTTCACCTGCCTCTCTGCTCTCACTAGTACGTACTGCAGCTGGTTTATAGGACATCCTGAAAGGTCCAGTTCACACAAATGACAGAAATAATAAAAATCTTTTCTCTTGAATGTATTTTTCACCTGTTAGTAAAGTGAACTAGACATGTCTGAGGAGAAGATAAACAAAATGGACACAGGTTTTTAATTTCGTTGCTGTAATGTCAGGTACATGTATTATCTGGTTATTGGACTACCCTCTCAGGTTGTGTTGTCATAAGAGTCATGAGTTTTATTTTAACACCTGAACAGTCTCCTTTTGCTTTTCTACCCAGACCCAGACATTCCTAAAGACTTTGAGGTGACGTCATGGAACAGCAGCAGCATATCATTGACGTGGGACTGTCCCAAGAACCTCAAGTACTCTCTCTTCCTCCTGACCACCTTCTACCTAAACAGCACCGACCACGTCACAGAGGAGGTGCGCCTCATGTTAAAGGAGGACAGCTTTGTGTTCACCCTGTCCGACCTGCAGCCCTGCAGCAGGGTTAGGTTTGGACTACAGACCGTTTGCATGTCAGGGACAGAGTCCCACTACAGCAAGATGGTCCTGAATGATGGAAACTCTGGTGAGTCCTGCACAGAGTTAATGGACTACTGTTTAATATCAATTATATATATAAAGTGTGACTTCAGTGCTGAACAGATGTTCTCTGCTCCTCAGTCTACTCCAAAATCTGGGCCTTGAGTCAGTCATCTTTTGGCCCCGACAACTACACCCTGAGTTGGGAGGTGATGAACACCTCCTTCATCTCGAGGTTCAGAGTTTACCACGATGAGGAGCTGCACGGCACCACACTCATGACCAACTACACTGTCGGGGGGCTGTTGTCATGCCAACGGTACCAGGCCAAGGTGGAGGCGCTGTGTGGAGAAGCTGTGGTCATGAACACCAAGACGGTCACTGCACACACAGGTAACATGGACCTGGAGGAATGTCGTGGATTGAGTGTCATTTAGTTGATAGCTAAAGCTCAAGTCACATTTCAATAAATTAAATTATCTGTTACTTTTGTTCTAGATTGTAATGTTTCAGGTGTGTACAGTGCAATATATAAAATGTGTCTTTTTGTGTGTCCAGGACCTCGTGGTGTGTCTGACCTCTCGTACCGCTCCAACGACTCCACCGCCGTGTGGACGCCCGGCACCACCCAACAGTCGGCTGTGGCCTTCCTATATGAGCTCTCCTTGAAGAATGGCACCCCCATCCAGAGCAGCCGAGTTACAGACACCGAGCTGCGCCTCCCCAGGCTGGACGAGGGGAAGACCTACGTCCTGGATGTGTGGGAGGAATGTGACGGAGAGTGGGAGTCCGAACATTCTAAGCTGTGTTTCCAGGGAGCCAATTCATCTTTAGGGTTCCTTCTGAAGGCTGCCGGACGTTCTGGACCTGGTCAGGACCTGGGTCAGTCTGACTCACCTTCCAACAGGACGTCTGTAGTTGTGTGGTATTTTTATTTTGACTCACTAGTTTCATTCACTCAAGAAAGAGAAAAAAACTACAAACATTTATCTTTCCTCAAATGTAGGTCTACATCTGATCGTGACATTATTTTATAAGTGGATTGTCTTTTCACAGTAAAACTAACCTCTCTTATTTCCTGTTACTGTAGAGCTGCAGTTAGATTTTTCCGGCTTGGGTCTCGTGATGGTGGTTCCCTGGTCACTGCCTGAGGATCTAGAGGATGAGGCCTCAGAGCCAAGAGCCAAAATGGAGAAGATCTTTAAAGATAAGGTTGGAGAATGTTCAGTTTTCTGTTGTTTAATAGTAAAACATCTGTTTATAACA